GCTTTTATTTCCAACATGCACCCATTCATGGCTGCATATTATATAATTCACGCAAAGTTACGTCTTTATTGGGACAGGACTTGACGGATTATAGGACTTGACGGAGAAACGGATATTTCTTCGAGCCAAGCTGCATAAACTGCATATCAGGCATTTATGTACATCTCATTTGTGCATTAATGGCTGTTATGTTAAATAAAGTTTACTAACTACAGTAAATCAAGTACCTGTGCACGCCATTGTTGTTGTCTTGTTTCCCCTCAGATGCACTGCAATGGTGATCCTGCGCGCAATTTTTAAAACATCCAAAATGTGTTTATCGGTGAATCCGATATTACAAAACCGATATCCGATTATTGTCAAATGCTTAAATATCGGGAAAAATATCGGTAAATCGATATATCGGTCGATCTCTATTTCCTACGAACATCTACAGTAGTTTACCCTGCTATATTTTACATCGAGTGTTCCAGATATGGAAATGTTATGCACCCCTCGTCATATGCATTAACAAAGTTAGTCATACCTCTTGTTGGCTATTAGCTGAACCCGTCCAGATAACGTCTGCCCCATTTTGGCAAACAGGGGGGTCTGCAGAAGACAGCGCACCTGATACCATTGAGTCAAAGGTTCATTTGGAGCAGTGGACAGCCATACTGTCATCCTGTACAGAAGAACACAATTATTATACTTTCAAGCATGTTGTCTTCAGACACTTTTCCTTTCACATTTGTGATTCTCACCTTGAGCCAACAAAGGCCACATCAAACCAAAACGCAAGTCCATGGATCAACCCTGACTGCAGCAGTTTGAAGACAAATGGAATTTCCAACCTGTGAATTACATACATTACAAATATAAAGACAAAGCTCTAGGTCATGCATTTTCAAATGTACCCTACAAGCTTTTTAACAGATTGTACCTAAATTTGGCACAAATCATCTTAAGATCATGCTGATCAAAAATGATTACAAGATTTTTGAAACATCTCTTCTCCTGCAACATAAATTTGAGTTGATGCATGTTAAATGGATAAATTTTGATAGTAAAGATGCCAAACAGGGAGGCTGTATACGTGCATTGACTTTGTTACATTGTTACAACTCCCTGAGAGTACATGACCAGTTTAGTAACAGCCATTCCATAAGTTTGTCTAACCTGAAATCAACCACCAATCTCCAGAAAAATCTTAACATATTTGAAAAGTCGCACTTTTATATATTGACAAAGGTGCAGTTAATTTTGGCACTGCTAAGAATGCCAGATACATTTACAGTGATGCACACTGACTTATAACTTAAAAGTTATAAACTGAAAAAATAAAATGGTGAATGCACTCAAAGACTTTTCCTAAAAATATGCATGCTACTGATATGCTTGAGCCCATAATTGCTGCATGCAGCTATATTCTTGAATTGCCTTTACCGGTGTAAATCTTCCTCTTTTGCCTCCAGAAAGTTGATTGTGTATTTCACAGACCTGGCCATGAGAATCTGCATATCGAATGTGTCCTGAAACACAAAGACCTTAAGATCTTCTCTGACAACATTATGAAGCAATCCATGAACCAGATTCATGGATGTTGTACACGTTGTACTCAGTGTGGACTCACAACTATTGGCTGTCTGAAGAACTCATCCACAGCAGAAGAATGAAGCCCGCTCAAGTTCACACCATAGAAACATCTCTGATTCCTGGTTTAAAATCAAATTCCAGTTGTTTGAGGTTAAACATGTTTCCAAGAAATGCCCATAGCATTTCAAGATTTTATTGATTTAGATGACATTTCCAGGTCTTTAACTCGGATGATTAAAATTAGACTAGCTCATATATCCAGATTTCCCAAGACTGTGGGAACCCTGGTTCTTCAAAGACGAAAAACAGTTGCTGATGGGGTTAATTAAATTAAGAAATATATTTATAATTGTTCTAGCTAATTTAAATGCATGCTTTGTCTTATTTCTACATCTTGAGGCCCTTTTGGAAGTTTGCTGAGGCCCCCTAGTGAGAATAACTGTTTTAGAGGAGTAGTTTCATCACTATTTATGGAAACCGGTGGGTTTCAGGAGGAGGAAAGAACAATGTTAAATGCAAATAAAATACAACCATCCAACTGTATTATAAAATGGCTATCAACAGGGAATCTTTGTTTTTCTTTGCCCACATAATGGCGTAGTTGTGGTGTAACCAGACAAACCTTAATGTCATTCCACAGAAGTTCTTTACAACTTAAGCCAAAAAGTTTCGAACAGATGAACATTTCAACACGTACCCACTGCAAAACACAAGCCTTTTTTTTGTTCTAACATAAATATTGGGTGTTAAACTTGACATGACACCTGGTAACATTATCTGTGTTTGTAATAAAAGCTACAGTGAGATGATGATTTCATTTATTGTTCTGAAGTGCGGTCACACAGGGTATGAAACTCATTTAACAGCACAGACAGAGAGAAGAGAAATATGTGCCATGAGTCAGGTTTGGACTGAAGCACAGTGTTTTACAGCACCGGGAAGCTGCTTGGCTTCAGTTTGGTCATGGCACGGTGCAAGTACAGTGCAGGCATGTGGGCGGTGGGATGATTACTGTCTTTCCATGCTAGCAAACCACAACCCCCTGTGGGCCAATGTAAAATAAACCATCATGGATGAGGCTGTAAACATTCAGTGTGATGCATGGTTGAGAGGGTCTGTAGCAGCATGTTCATGTGTACTATTAAAGAAATGTTCTCAACACCATTTGTGGAAAAAACGTCCATTACCGTAGACAATAATTTTGGTTAATTATTTAAGTTTTTATTTTGTAGAGCCAAAAAAAGTCTACAGTTATACAGTACATGGGCCAGTACATGGCAATAAAAAGTGTAGTTTGTACTTTTGTTAAATAACTTTTTTAAATTACGAAATATAAATGTAAAAATCCAGCTTATTGTGAAGCTGTAAAATCAAAAGAATTATATGCTTTATTTTTATTTTATTTTTTTGTTTAAGTTTATGAACATCTGGTTATGCATTAATGTCTGACACTTTCCTAAGCCCCACAACCAATACTACTATAGCAGCTTTGGCATTTTATCATACACGCTTTTGCTCTTTTCTAATATACACTACTGTTCAAAAGTTTTGGGGTGGCAAGATTATTTAATGTTTTTAAAAGCAGTCTCTTCTGCTCATCAAGGCTGCATTTATTTGATCAAAAATTACAGTAAGAACAGTTATTACAATTTAAAATAACTGTTGTCTATGTGAATATATTGTAAAACTTAATTTATTTCTGTGATTAAAAATGTATTTTCAGCATCATTACTCCAGTAACAAAGTGTAGATATGTAAATGTAAATTGTTCAGTGTATAGAGCTTCATTGATTATAACAGAACTTTGTTAGATTGTGATGATCTGAAGTGAGTGACAGCTTTTAGCGATTATAAAGGGAGCGCTCTGTGTGCTTTATAGGCTATATACTGTATAATTTGAATAAAAGCCTTGTTTTTCAAGCTGCTGAGGTAATTACAGTATATCGGGCAGGAAATCCAAACGTTCTCCTACCATTCATCGACCTTAAATATGGCTTATCATTTGTAATTAAAACATGTAAGTAGCAGCAACTTCACATGTCTAGTTTATTAATAAATAATATGTTTTTGCTATTTTTTGACATTACTTTCGCAGTTGCTTTGTGGCAAACTTTATGCATGGCTATATATTTAGGCTATATATTAAAGGCTCATTATAGTTTAGTTTCTCCATCAGTATATATTTAAATTATTAAATGAATATTAATCCCTAGTTATGACTCTGGTAGTTCTCTTCAAACCATGCATAGTGGCTATCAATGAAAATGGCAGCTTGGAGAATTGCTACAGTATAGATGGCAAAGTTGTTATTACCAGAAGTTAGAGCGGGCGTGATGCTCCATGTACAGTTGTTCATCAGTGAAAGGAGCCAGATGAATGTCACCCTGAGTCGGGAACATCATGCCTGGACAGTGAGAGAAAACAAGTACAAGTACTCGATAACTAATAACCCATAACATTTGACCACAGCATACATTAATGAGAAAGTACAGTGGCATTTAAATGGATAGTTCACCCAAAAATGAAAATTCTGTCATTAATTACTCACCCTCATGTCGTTCCAAACCTGTAAGACCTTCGTTCATCTTCTTCAACAGTTCTTCTCTTCCGTGTCAGTCTTCGCCACGCGTTCATGAGAGTACCACGACATAGAACACGCATGCGCTGTGCCTTGTTTACAAACAGAGGAAGATGCACACTGTACATAAAACAGTCTTCGTAAACATGTCTGAAGATTTCGACAGAGAGGATGACTTGCAATTTTTTGCCCAGCCTTACTTATTTGAACCAGAATATACAGACAATGAACTAAGAGAGATGGACGTTCTGTCAGAACGCCGGCTCCTGCATCAGCAGCATCACACGCATGCATCGTGGAACTCTCGTGAACACGTGGCGAAGGCTGACACGGAAGAGAAGAACTGTTGTATAAAGTCGTTATTTTTGTTTTCTTTGCACACAAAAAGTTTTCTCGTAGCTTCATAAAATTACGGTTGAACCACTGATGTCACATGGACTATTTTAACGATGTCCTTACTACCCTTCTGGGCCTTGAACGTTTCAGTTGCATTGCTGTCTATGCAGGGTCAGAGAGCTCTCGAATTTCATCAAAAATATCTTAATTTGTGTTCCGAAGATGAACGAAGGTCTTACAGGTTTGGAACGACATGAGGGTGAGTAATTAATGACAGAATTTTCATTTTTGGGTGAACTATCCCTTTAAGGGAAATGTGGTGATTGTTGTTCGATGTACAGACCTTTGGGTTTTAACCAGTTTTTGGCGTGCAAATAGCTCTCTAACATCCTCTCATTGAGGAGCATGTAGCCCATGGGCTCTGAGATGATCACATCCACCTTCTCTGAGCAGGAAACTTCCTCAATCTTTCCTGACAAAACCGTGATTTTGTTGGACAAGTTATTGCTTTTCACTAGAGTCTGAAGAGAGAAGAATGACAAAACAACTTAAGCTTTATCAACAGCATCTCTTCCACGGCGATGCATTTATAATGGAATACTATGGGGCAATATCTTGCACCAGAATAAACATTTAAAACACTTTTTTGAAAGTATAACCACAAGATTACATGCTAATGAGACCAGTGCATCACTACTAAGTCACAAGAAATTGTGTCAGTAACACATAGCCAGAAGTCAACAAATCAGCCTACAAAAGTCGACTTAAACTCGAACAACAAATCATTTGTATAGAATGATATGAGGTTTTTTTTTTTACTTATTTGACTTATTTCCTATTATGGAAATTATATACTTTCTTACTTTACTGACAAACATTTATGGTAAACCAAAATATATTCCATGTAATTTCTATTTTACAAAACTGCCATGTTTTTAAATATATTTGTATTTACACATTTGTAATTTTAAGGTTGCAATTTAGTATGTTTAAAATATACAGTATTAACTTCAAACTTTAAATGGAAAATTCCTTACAAGCATTGAGGAAGAGTTTACAAATATGGGTCTGATTATCACCCTTGCAAAATAATACAAAAATTCATTCGTAATCTCTTTTCTAAACAAAGAAAATCATTTAGAGCTGAACAGTTAAAGGTTTTGTGTGTTATATTTGGAAATTTAGATGTGGCAGTAGAAACACAAACACATGTGGTAGTAGTCTACAAAATACTACAAGAGTAACAAGAGCTTTCCACTAAATGAGAAAAAGAGCGCTATTAGCACTGTTGAGAAAGCAGTCTTTATCCATGAAAACATGTGTCTTTGCCCACTACGCAAGTTTCCGGGCCAAATCTGTCTTCAAGTCATTTAGCAGCCAGAATGTCATGCACTCCAGACATCAAGGAAAGATCCTTCTAAAGGACCTCTTGAAGGTGTTGCCTTGTGAAAATGTTCCAGAAAAGTTGTCTCGGCCTGGGTATTTTTCCACAAAACCCGTAGCCCTGAACTTCAGGCCAAATGGGTGTGACAGCAAAGATAGTGATGAGTGATTTATCATCCAAGCACATCCAACAGCTGGCCAAAATATACACATCTCCTCACTGTGCACTGGAAGCTCTTTGTAATAGATTTGGAACGGAAATCTATGATTTGCTTTAAAGAAATAATTTTCTGAACACGTCCTCACCCTCAGGACATCCTCAGATGTAGATGAGTTTGTGTCTCCATCAGATTTGTAGAAATGTGTCATTGCATCACTGTCTCAGCAATGGATGCTCTGCAGTGAATGGGTGCCGTCAGAATGAGAGTCCAAACAGCTGATAAAAACATCACAAGCATTGCATCAGTGTCTCAGCAGTGGATGCTCTGCAGTGAATGGGTGCCGTCAGAATGAGAGTCCAAACAGCTGATAAAAACATCACAATAATCCACAAGCAATCCACACCACTCCGGTCCATCAGTTAATGTCTGGTGAAGTGGAAAAAAGTGTGTTTTTTAAAGAAATCATCGTTTTTGTTTTACTTAAAACGTTGCTTCCGGCTAAAATATGAGTCATCTATCCATAATATTGCTTTTTTTAGTGAAAAAGTCATCTGGTCACAGATCAAGCACCGTTTACAAGCCAAAACACCTCTAAACAAATATTTCTAAACAACAGAGGATGGCTTTTTTACTGGAGGAAGCGCTATTATGCATTATGGACTCATATTTTGACAAGAAGGGGACAGACAGCCATAGAACTGAGAGAAAACTACAAATGTCTCACGTTTCTTATGAGGTTAATAGTGTATCACATCCACAGGAATTGAATTGAAGGTATTCCTCCGCTTTACCTGGAAGTACTGCAGGGCAGATGAACCGTCTGTCCTCTGCTGAAACACAGACTGATCTCTCCTGAGCTCGTGCCATGAGCGCAGCATTCTGTGGAAGATCTCAAACTCTGTGCAGAATTCACCCGTCAGCACAATAACACAATTTATATTTAAATCTGTATTTAACCTCGGAATGATTTCAAAGAAAGGTGGCTGTGCTTTAAAATTTCATTATTGTAATCTTAATTCAAGTGATGAAGGATTTTGAAAGTCAGTGTTGAGCACTACTGTAAGGTTAACTCTGCCTGGTTTACATGTTCGAAAAAGATTAACAGTTGAAAACATTCATTAGAAATTTAGAAAAGTAATCAAATGTAATAAGTTACATGAATAAAGTAACTGAAATAGTTACACTACTTATTACATTTTAAATAGGGTAACTAACTTATAATCTGTAACCTATTACAATTCCAAAGTAACCTTCCCAACACTGTTTTATTTATATATATATATATATATATATATATATATATACAGGTGCAT